GGCATCTGCAGGAGCGCCTCGAGCAGGCGCAAGCCGCGTTCGACGCGGCGCAGGCATCGCGGGGCGCACGGCGAAGAAACCATCTGCGATGCAAGATGCGAGCGCCTCGGCTAAGGCGCTCGCAAGGGCGTCGCATGCGGTATCCTGAATGAGATGTGGCTTTCACACGCAATGATTTCATCGCCCGCGCGCTCCCATAGGGGGACATTACGGTGCTCCAGCAGCAGACGCAGGCCCAGGCGGAGCTTCTGCAGATTCAAAAGCACGCTGCGGACGCCGAGCAGCAGCAGCACGAGACCTTCGCGCAAAACCTGGTATTTGCGCGCAGGGCTCTCCGCGATGCCCGCGAGGATCTCGCGGCGCTGCAACCGCGGCCGACTCGACCGCCGCAGACGCAGCGGATCTGGCAACAGCCGCAGCAGCACCAGGCGCAGCAGGACTGGGCGCTGCAGGGGCACGAGGCCTGGCTGCAGCAACAGGATCACCAGCAGCAGCAAGCCTACAACAGACAGGCTCACCGGCAACCCGTGACGGCGGGAGGTGGTGCAGGGCCAGGCGCAATGGCCCCAGCCGGCTTCCGAGCGGCGCAGGAGATGCTGCAGCCGCAGCAAGCCTGCGAGGCCCACGCGGGTGGCCCAGCATGCTTCCAGGCGCCCCCGCAGGAGCCGCCGCCACAGCAGCCGCGGCATATCCAGCAACGCCCGCAGCAGATCTGGCAACCGCAGCAGATCCAGCCACAGCCGCCGCAGCAGATCCAACAGCAAGGAGCGATCCGGCAGCAGCAGCAGTACACTCCAGCAGAATGGGAATTTCGGCATCTGCAGCAGACCAAGCTCCAGCAGGCGCAGATGCAGCGCCAGCAGGAGGAGACGCGGAGGCCCCAGCAGCTGCTGGGTCAGCCTCAGCGCCAGCAACAGCTGCAGGCGCTGCACGGCCCGCTGCCCCCAGCGCAGCTGCCGCTGCAGCCGCTGCCGCAGGCGCCGCAGCAGCAGGCGCAGCAGCCGCCTCCATGGAAAGCCCCGCCACAGCAGGCGCAGCAGCCGCTGACAGCGCGGCAGCCTGCGGTTGAAGCGATGACCACGCTCTCGCTGCGCGCGCCCCCAGCGGCCAGGGGGGCGCCACCGCCGACGCCCGCGCCACCTTGAGCGTAGGGCCTTTTTTCCGCTCGGGCGCCCGCGGAGCAGCGTGCCTCGTCGGCGTTTTGAACCTGCCCGAAAAAGCGCGCGCGCTCCTGGGCGGAAGAGCTTATGCGGCAGAACCAGAGACTCTTTGGCAAAGGCCCCTCGGAGGCAGGGGTGGGGAGGGGAGGGGGGGGGGGGCGGGGGGGAGGGGTGGCAAAGGGAAGACGGGGGGGGGGAGGGGGGGGAAGAGAGGGAGGTGGATAGTGAGGGCAGAGGGGGGGGGGGGGGGGGGGGGGGGGGCGGCGAGGGAAGCGGAGGGGGGGGTGGGGGCGAGGCAGAGGGGAGGAGTGGGGGCGCGCCGAAACAAAAAACACACACAAAAAACATTATATATATCCTATAAATAATATATAATTATATTATACTATAATATATATATATAAACAACAAAAAAAAAACGTAAACCATGTCAATTCTATGTTACGTGCATCCCCAGGGCCCAGCCATGCATGCGCAATTATGGCATTGAATGCATGGGTATATGTTTTCTTATTGGTTTTAATTGTAAAACCATTTGCGCAAAACAGCACTTAGATTTTACGTGGGCCCCCAGGGCCCAACCGCGCATCGCTTCCATGTTTTATTGTATGACGTTTAAAGCTTTTATTTGTAAACCCACTAACACAAATAACATCAGATGTGTGTTTTCTGATCGTATGCTTGCTTGATGTTTTCAGTGATAAACCTACTAACACGCATGCGATGACATATTTTACGTGGCCCCCCTGGTCCAACCACAAACAAGAAAACCATATATGCGATGCATGATTGTAGACTGTCGTATATTTCAGTGTACCCCTATTAGCACACATCAGAACTTGTTGCATTTTACGTGGATTTTAGGGCCCAACCACGCATAAAACAAACATGTATATTTATTTGGTTGCATGGCCGCATGTGTTCTTATTGTTTTTATGTGTAAACTTGTTCACGCCAATGAAGATACTTTATGTTATGCGTGTTACATTGAAACCACATATTCTTTGTTACGTTATGTTTGGCGCGCCCTGCCCCTCCTTGATCGCCCCCCCGCCGCCGCCCCCCCCTCTCCACCCCTTTCCTCGTCTTCTCCTCCCCCTTCCCCTCCCGCCCCCGCCCCACTTCCCTTCTCTCCCCCCCCCCTTTCCCCCCTGCCCCTCGCCCTGCCCCCCCCCCCCCCCCCTATCCCCTCTATCCCCTTGCCCCCCCTTTCCCCGTTTCCTTCCCTCCCCTCCTTCTTCTCTCGCCCCCCCCCCCCCCCTGCCCCTTCCGCCCTCGTCGCCCCCCCTCCTCCATCCCGTCCTCGCTCAGGGGTCCCATCGGCTAAGGGGCGCCTTGTCGTCTCCCCCATTCCTCTCCGCGCGTTTCGCGCCGATCTCCGTGCCATGGGCGCTTAGGCTCGGGCCCCGATTCTGTTCCAAATCTCAGGGGGCGCGGCGGCATGGTAGCAGAGTTGCTTATCATATCGGCTCTTGTCGTGGACTTCGCAGTGGGCACGCCGGCAGGGAAACGTTGTGGCGCGGGGGCGCCCGCGGCGAAGCCGCCGCCCGAGCAGCCCGAGGTGGCCGAGAGGCGCCTGCCGCCCCCAGACGCGTCCATGACCCACACTTCGAAGACGGTGTACCACCTCCCCGAAGTATGCCAGCGCATCGGGGGCCACTCTACCATCCCGCGCGCGCGAGGATTGCCTGCGCGAGAAGGCGTGCGAGGACTTGCGCAAGCGCCAGAAGACGATGTGAGAGCGCGCCCGCCCGCTTCGTGAAGTGCGCACGTCGGTCCGGAGTTTTCGATTTAAGTGATTGCCGCGGGAGGGCGCGTCTCCCCCCTCGTTCTCCTGCGTCGCTCCTCGTCGGAGACCCCTCGGCTTAGGTTTCTCCGCCGTCTCGCCCGACCCCCCCCCCTCCGCGCGCGGGTCATTGTCGCGAGAACCCGCGAGGAGGTCATGCACCGCGTCCGTCCCGTAGGCGCTTAGGCTCAGACGCAACGATGGATATTGTTTCTCGCGCGTCCTATGATGCCCAAGCGCGCGACAACCTACGATCCCAGCTCAGAACCGGCACATGGGATATTTGGGAGCAGCGTGGGGGGCCTCTTCACAAATAATGTCGTCAGCGGCAGGGGGGGCTCGGAACTTTTGAGAGACGCCGAAGCAGCGGGCGCCGCGGGCATGCAGTTCGCCTGCCGTAGCAGCATTGGAAGCGCTAGGGCCACCCCCGCACATGCAGGTCGGTTCATCAGACATTTCCCCGCCAAGCGCACGGCGTGGCCGCCAGAATAGCGAGGGAAAAGGAGAGGTCAGCTTGGGGAAACGAAGTCTGGGATGCCCTTCTGGTTGCCGCACGAGCTGCCGCGCGCGCTGCGTCACTTCGGGAACGCAGAGGTCATCGCGGATCGCAGGGGACTCGACCAGGTCAGCCTCGAGCACATGCAATCCGTCGACGGGCAGATGGATGGGGAAGCTATTCCGATCGGTTTCTGGCAGGACGGCGCCCCCGTCAATTGGGATCGCACAGTGAGCTCCGAGATCTTCGCTATTAGTCTGCCAGGTCAGTCGGGCGAGTGGGGGGACTTGCGTCTGCTTTTGACTGCCATGCTGAAGCGCCAGATCGGCGAGCGCACGATGGATGACATCTGCGACGCCTTCGCCTGGAGTTTCCGTTGGTTGGGCCTGGGGAAACACCCGCCGTCGCGTCATGGCAACAAGGCGTGGCTGAGCGGTGACGCGAAGAGGAAGCGCACGGTGGGGCAGGCGCTTGCAAGGCAGTGTCGGTGTAAATGCGCGGAGATTGGAACATGTTCAAAGAACTATTGAAACTACCCCGCTGGGGCGAGGAGGTGGGCCGTTGTTTTCGGCGCTGGGTGAAACCGAAGGAGATCGCAGATCAGGTGGGCCTCTCGGCGCCCTGGCGGCAGAATTGGGAATCGTGGGGCGACGTCATCGGCTGCATGTTGCGCAGCGGCTGCAGGGCGAACCCCCCTGGGCCAGGCGCCGTGCGTGAGCTTGCGCGTCATCAGGACTGATTGGCTCCATGCCGCAGACATGGGTGTCTCGGCAGACAGACTTCCATGGGGGGGCGCTGCGGCGCCTGCAGACGAAGGTGGCGGGCTCGACGGCAACGGGGGGGGGTCTCCGAGCTGAACGATGAGGTCCGCGAGTTCCACGAAGCGAATGACGCGAGGGACAGGCTGAGGCGTTTGGGCGCGCGCGTCATCAAGCGGGGCCAGAAAGCGCCCGAGCTGAAGATGCAAGGCGCCCGTTGCCGCGCGATGGCCCCGTTCACCTTGGAGATGGCGGAGGAGCTCTGCGATCTTGGCGGCCCGCTGGGCCGGGCTGTGCACTGCGGGGCGCGCCGCCTCAATGAGCGCTGCAAGGCCCCCAGTGCCGCGTCCGCGAACGGACCGGGCATCCTGGCTGAGAACGCGCCCAAGTTCGCTTTCTTTCGCACGAGCCTGGCGAGGTTGAAGCCCGCGCGCTGGCGAGCGAAGCCCAAACTGCACGCCTGGCCCGAGGCGGCCGCCGAAGGCGGCGAACCCACAAGCGTCTGGCGTTGTAGGGGCGAAGACTTCGGCGGGGGCGTCTCCAACGCGGGGCGCGGCCGAGGCGGCTCGGCGACCGTTTCTGGCGCCCGCGGAGTGGTCCGCAAGTTCGGCATGCGGCCCTTTATCCGAATGAGGTAGAGCAACAACTTGTGCGACGTGGGAGGGTGGCGGGATTCGGTGGTCGGCGGGCAGGGGAAACGCGCATGGGGGGGGGGGGCGGGCCAGGACTTGACGCGCGTCCGCGCAGCCTCTCTGCCCGAAGCACCCGACGCGACTGCCCCCCCCCGCCCGCCCCGTGCCATGGCAGCCATGTCCCTCTCGGGTGCTCTTCTGCTCGGCTGGCTGATCGCCATGTCGCCGAAGAAGCGGCCCGCCGCCGTGGGCGGCGCCGCGGGCGGCGACGCGGGCAGCCCCGAGGGCGAGCGCAAGCCGAAGGCGGCGAAGAGCCAAGCGAAGCCGCCCCCTGCCGCGGCCAAGGGCCCTCCCGCGGACGCGCCTCCCGCGTCGAACGCCGACGAGGCCGCGGCGGAGGCCGACGCGGAGGGCCAGGCGGGGGCCGACGGGGGGGTCAGGCTCGAGGCAGGCAGCCCTCGCAAGCGTGCCCCCAAAGGCGCCCGCGACCAGGTGGCGCCCAACAGGATGCTGACCGGCTTGCGTCAGCAGAAGTCTGGCAAGGACCCTGAGGAGGCGGCGAAGGCAGCGGCCGCGCTGGAGATGCACCTCAAGCTGGGCTGGGAGGAGAAGGAGTCGATGGTGGAACGCTGCAGGGGGAACAAGACCCGCGGCAGCATGAAGTGGATCGACGACTGGATGGAGACGCGCAACAAGGACGACGCCACTGCGGCCGGCTGGAACGAGAAGTGGCGCGGCCTTGGGCAGGCGCTGCAGCTTCTCGGCTTGAACCTCAGTGATTCTGAAACCCGCGAAGAAGCGCGGGCCTTCGTGATCGAGGAGGTGCACCGCAACCAGGTGGATTCTGGCACGCTGGAGTCCCACCCGCCCAAGATCGACGAGTCGAACTGGCTGATGTCTCGGTACTTCTGGGTGGTCGACCAGGGGAAGACCAGGGCGGTGGCCCCGCCCCCGCCCCCTCGCCCTCCCCGCTCGGGGGCCCCTCGGCTAAGGGGCCGTCGAGCGGTGCGAACTCTCGAGAAGGATGGGGGAGGAGGGAACGAGGGGGGAAAGAGGATATCGGGGGGCAGGATCGGGGGGCGGGGGCGGGGCCACCTTCCTGGGCACCCGCAGGGCGATCACGGGCAAGCACACCGCGCAATTGGAGAGCCGCGCCAACGACTGCAAGCAGGCCATCCAGAGCGGGTGGCTCGAATTCTCCATGGGCGCGCGCGGGGGCGACGAGGTCCAGCGGGAGGGCGACGGCGCCGAAGCGCTCGAAGCCGCCAAGCACGCGGCCAAGTTCTTGAGGGCCTCCCGCAGGAAGGTCGACAGGCCGCTGAAGAGCCTGACCGTTCTGAAAAGGCAGTCAGTTCTTTGCCAGGGCCAAAATCCTCGAGGTCCCCGACGTGGACAAGTATGCAGAGGCCGGCACGGACCTTGACAAGGTTTGCGATGCGTTGAACCTCTACCAGGAGGACGCCGAATCGATCGCCATCCACGCGGGCGATCTCGCGAAGAATGGGGTTACTAAGCTGGGAGGCGGCGGAGGATCAGGAGAAGGTCATCAACAAGTTGAAGGGGAAGTGCGAGGCGCGCGCCAAGCAGCGCGACGAGCGGCGGAAGGCGGGCGACGAGCACGCGAAGAACGCGGCGACGAAGGTCACCGAGATGCAGGGCAAGCTGATGAGGGACCCGTCAGAGTGGAGTTAAGCCATGCCAGGAGGCAGGTACCAGCGGCAAGCTATTTTAGACGCTGCCGCTGCACCCGCCTTGGCTTTTTAGATGCTGCGGCGGGGGGAAAAAATGGGGCGGGGCCTGTCCCCCCTCCTCCCGATCTTGCCCCCTGCTCCTGCTCCTGCTCCGCCTGTTCCTCACCCCCCCCCCCGCCCCCCCCTGTTTCCTCTTCGCGCTCGCCCCCCCCCCCCCCCCGCACCCCCCCCAGCCCGCTCTTTTCAGCGCCAGCTCCGATGAGCAGGTCGATATTCTCGAGCACCTCGGGCCGGCCGAGTCGCCTATCATGGGAAACGAATTCGCCGCGGCGCGCAGGGGTGCATAAACAAATTCTCAACGGAAAGGGCTGCCATGTTAATCCAGACGCCCCCTCTGGAAGCCTTGCAGCTCACTGTCTGACGGCCGGTGGGCCACCTCGGCCATGAACAGCGCCCGCTCAGCCACGGGGGCGCGGAGCTTGTCCCCGCCGTAGTGCAGGCGCACCTTGGAGGAGATCGCGCCCCCCTCTGCCGGCCAGCAGCCACCGCGCGCGGGGCGCCGCCATCCGAGCTCGCCCTGCACCCGCTCCGCCACTCGACGCGCGCGCCCTTGCGCGCGGGGCACCGCGTCTCGCAGGAGGCGGGCATGGCCAGCCCGAGAGCTTGCGGGCGCAGGCGTTTGCAGGCAGCCTGGAAAACAAATTGAGCCGCAAAACAGCTACGGTCGGCGAAACTCCAGCGGGGGCCGCCGCGGACCGAGGGGGGTGGATGGGGGTGGCGCGCCGAGGGCTAGCCGAGGAGCCCCCATCAGGCCCCCTTTGCAAAACATGTTTCGTTCGTGCACCCTTTCGTTCGTGACCCCGCGCGCCCCCCGCAGCCCCGTCGCCTCGCGCTGAATTGATGAATTGCGCGGTGCTGGGCGGCCGCTTCAGCCGGCCCATTCGCGCTGTAGCGAACGTTGAAATGTGGGCACCAACGGCTCGCGTTCTCAGCGTTGCATTCGCAGCCCTCGCGCGCGCGCGGCGTGCAGGGGTCGGGCCAGAGGGGGGGGGGGGGGCAGGGGCAGGCGAGGGGCGCGGGCAAGGCGGATGGGGCGCCGACGGGGCTCCTTGGCCGAGGAGCCCCTGGCCGACGACGATGACGACGACCGACGACGACGAGATCGAGTGCCGCCCCGCCCAGGCGGCGGCGGCGCTCGCGCGTGCAACGGCGGTGGCGTTCGTGCGTGCCGCGTGCTGCAGCGCAAACAATGACAATTTGGATCATAGATGCTGCTCGAGAGTGCACGGGGACAGGTTCCGTCAATTTCGCGATGCATTTTGGGCCAATGTCAGCCACAATCTTGTTTTTTTACCAGAAATCATGTTGAATGCGTTTTCGATGTTTCTTCGACTCATGCTGGGCCGATGTTAGGAGTGGTTTGCGTTGTTTTAGGATGGCTCCTCAAAAGCGTTGTTGAAATTCGCGGCATCGGTTGAGATAAAGAAATGTATGGGCACAACAACTTATCGATTTAGATCTGAAAGCAGGAAATGTATATTTAGATCGTAGAGGTCTAAATAGATCGGAAAAGTCTATTTAGACAGCCTATCTAAATTGAGCGGAACATACTCTCATGGCTATAAGACGCGAGAGTGTAATCATAAGTGCGCTGCCAGACTACGACGGGAAGCGCCGAGTCTGACAGGTTAAGAGATTACGGCCGACATGGAAACGGACATACCAAACCGCACAACCAATTCATTATAACATACTAGAACACACGACAGTTGAATTGCACATGGCGCGAAAGAGCCGAACGCAGCACAACATAGCAGGGCAGACTCCAACCGAACATGCTTAAACATCGCACAACATGCCATAACATGGCGTATTCGAACTGTTTAGAGTCGTACATCCGCGACCGACGGACGGCGTTCTGTCGAACGCGATGTGCGCGCCGAGGCAGGTTGGCCACAGGAGCACAGGCGCAGCAGCGACCACTTGGACGACGTATCAAACGTGACAGGCGGTACGACGTAACGCCGGCACGTCCAGAACAGAACATAATGGAGCACGGCAGAACAGAACGTAAGTGGATATGACACATATGGACACTGTAGAATTCAGCAGCGACCAGTTCACGGCGCCCTGACACACGCAACATACGAACCAACGTAAGCATTGTCACATGGATAAGCCGTACATGGATAGAACATACTATAATCGAATAGTACGTGACAATGTAGAATGCAGCAGCGACCGAATAACGGCGTCGTATCAATCGCGACATGCGCGCCGAGCTCAGCCTGACCACAGCAGTAATCAGCATTCCGACCCGGGAACAAACGCCGCAGGTTTCGGTGGGGACCGCTCGAATTGACAGAAATATTGACAGCTTTCTTCGGGTTGTTTTGCTTTGTTTCTTGCCTGCCCTCGTCGGTTTGCATACTCTTGTTTCTTGTCAGCCGTCGTCGGATTGTTTGGCCCTGCTTCTTGTCTGCTTTCCACAGGTTGCTTGGTCTTGATTTCTTGCTGCCCAACAATACCAAATAACGCCAAGCAACGCCAAGCAATACCAAGCAACCCCACGCAAAGCCAATCCATGCCAACCCATGCGATTCAATGTCAAGCTATGCAAAGCAACACTAAGTAAAACCAGGCAATGCCAAGCACTGCCCAGCAACGCGCTGCCGAGCAGCACCAAACAGCGCCAAGCAACGCAATTGCCAAACACAGCCAAGAAAGACCAACGCAAGCAAATGCCAATCAACCTTTTTGTTGGCATTTCCTGGCATTGCTCAGAACTGTATTGAATTGTTTTTGGGAGAGAGAAGACCCCTCATTTAGGTCGGGTGGCGCCAGCTTCGTCTCATGGGGAAGTGAGGAGGGGAAGGGGATGGAGGGAGAGAAGGGGGGGAGGGAGGGAGAGGGAGGGAGAAGTCGGGGAAGGGAGAGGGATGGGAGGGGAGGCCTTTCCGCTCCTCAGAGGAGGCTGTCGCTGCCCGTCAGACGCCCGCCCCAGTACGACCATGCGGAGGGCGTCAGCATGACGGTCATGCGCCGGCGCCTCGGCTTGCCCGGCGACCGCGACGAGCATCGGCCGGGGTCCGTCGACCCCGTGGCCAGATCATCGCGGCCTCTGGAGCCTTTGGAGCTTGTGCGGACGAACTCCTTTTTCGAAAGACAGCCCCGGAAAATTGCGAATCAGTGGACAGGGAAGGGGTCTCCCACAAACGCTTTGGATGTGGGATCGATGCCCTGGCGCAACGATTTCAAAGCCTTGACTTTCCCAGCGCCTGGCCGTAGTACTCATCGCGAGGCCAAGGCCTTGACCTGTCTCCCCGCGTGGGCGATGGGCGTACTGGCCTATCAGCTGGTGTGCGGCAGAACGCCCTTCGGAGGCAACCGCAGGACGAGCAAGAGTTCAATGTCTGCCTTGTTCTCCCACAGTCTTTGGGAGGGGTGTGTCTTGGCCAGCACTCAATGCCAGGACTTTCCTGCTGGATGATCACGCTGCAGCCCCGCGGCGTGCCATCAACCTTGTGAATCAAGTGGCCTCTGTCGCTGGTCGTGAGCTGCAGCACACAGAGGGGCTCTTCTACTGAAACTTGGGCCTCCTGAGTGACCTTCTCAACCCTACGGACCTTATCTACATTTGGGAATCTACAACGCTGAGCTGCTGACCATCGCTGCCTCCCCCTCCTGCTCCTCCTCGTCCTCCTCCTCCTCGTCCTCCTCCTCCTCGTCCTCCTCCTCCTCGTCCTCCTCCTCCTCCTCCTCCCCGTCCTCTTCTTCCTCCTCCTCCTCCTCGTCCTTCTCCTCCTCGTCCTCCTCCTCCTCCCTTTCTCCTCCTCCGCCTTCTCCTCCTCCTCCTCCTCCTCCTCCTCCTCCTCCTCCTCCTCCTCCTCCTCCGCCCCTCCTCCTCCTCCCCTCCTCCCTCCTCCTCGTCCTCCTCCTCCGTCCGCCACCTCCTCCTCCTCCTCCTCCCTCCTCCTCCTCCTCCTCCTCCTCCTCCTCCTCCTCCTCCTAGTAATCTCCTCCTCCTCCTAGTACTCCTCCTCCTCCTCCCCCTCCTCCTCCTCCTCCTCTCCTCTTCCTCTTCCTCCCACCTCCCTGCGCCTTCCTCCCTCCTCCCTCCCCCCTGCTGTCTCCTCCCTTCTCCCTGCTGTCTCCTCCCTCCTCTCTCCTCCCTCCGCCCTCCTCTTCCTCCTCCTCCTCCTCGTGTGTAGGCGGGCCCGAGGCCTCACCACAAGGTTGTTAACTGTTCAAACACCCCCTGGCCTGCGAACCGTAGCGCCCGACCCATACCGGGGAGGAGGAACGAACCTCTGCCAGCCGTTCCTGGCCGCCTTCGCGTTGCCAGGCCACGTGGCAGTGCAGAGAGGCTCTGCCCGAGAGGGTGGGATCGGCTGTTTTGTCGCCTGGCGACGAGGACGAAGCGCAGGAGGAGGAGGAGGAGCAGGAGGAGGAGAATGATGATGATGATGATGATGATGATGATGATGATGATGATGATGATGATGATGATGATGATGATGATGATGATGATGATGATGATGATGATGACGATGATGATGATGATGATGATGATGATGATGATGATGATGATGATGATGATGATGATGATGATGATGCTGATGATGATGATGATGATGATGATGATGATGATGATGATGATGATGATGATGATGATGATGATGATGATGATGATGATGATGATGATGATGATGATGATGATGGAGGAGGAGGAGGAGGAGGAGGAAGGAGGAGGAGGAGGACGAGGAGGAGGAGGAGGAGGAGGAGGAGGAGGAGGAGGAGGAGGAGGAGGAGGAGGAGCAGGAGGAAGAGGAGGAGGACGAGGTCGAGGAGGAAAGACAAGGGGAGCAGGAAAAACACCGCGAGTAGGCACAATCATGTAAGAGGAGACGAGGGGGCAGCGACGGCAGCAGCAGGCAAGCGCGCACGTTGGGGGCGGACGGGGGGCGGGGAGGGGGGCGAGGGTCGTCGGCCGCAGTCGGG